AAGGAACCAGATCCCTAGAAGAGGAGCCAGACGGCTGCGGCAGGGCTGGCACGAGACCTCCACACGCAGCTCCAGAGGATGGAGCTTCCAGTAGCAGCCTGGCAAGTTGGAAAGATCCAGAGCCCTGTGGCTATTTCTCATTCCTGGGAAGCAGGCAGTGGAGACCAAGGCCCTGGGAGTACTTAGCAGGAAAACAGAGAGGAACATGAAACAGGCCAAAGAACAGGGAGCTACAAGGCCCTGAGCAGAGCTGGCAGCCCGTTTCTTGTCCTTGCACAGGGAACGTACCACAGAGCCAAATAACAGCTGCTCCTCTGTTTGCTTTGAAGCCCACATCTGAGCTGTCCTTGGTGGATTGTCCTCCGTGCTGGGAGGATGAGGAGCTCCCAGCAAAAACTCAGTGTCGAGCAGCCAGGCTGCCACTGCCAACCCCCTTCCCTTCATCCCCTTCATGCTCCTGGTTTCAGACACCAGGGCGAGCAAGAAAGGCATCCACACCCACGCAGGACATGCCTCCATCACTGCTGCTCCCTTCAACAGGACTGGAGGCACAAAACCAGGGCGTGGAGCCAGCATCTCCGGCAGGACAGACTATACCAGGTTGACCTGGGGCATCTCTGCCCACTGCTGTTCAGCCTCCGGGATGGGAAACAACTCTTTTTCTCAGCATCCGGAGGTGCCTCCTGACTCCACCACTCACCTAAGGCACTGCTTCACCCATCCAGAACCTGGCAGGGCTGGGAAGAGAGAGGAGAGGCTGCCTCTCCAGTCACACCATCCCCAACTGCTCTGCTGGTCCTGCCTACGAGACCACCAGGCCTTTTCTCAAAATCCACATGAACCACCCTCTACCTGAGTATCCAGCTCCCCTAATGCCCGCGGGCTCTTTGCACCCCTGGGAGCTGTGGGGCTCTGCCTGCCTCCCCGACATGCACACAGCAGTGAGGCCTCCACAGGACATGCAGCTTTGTGCGCGGAAAAAGCGCACCCCCCCCCCCAACGCAGCAGAGACAGACACTGTGGGCAGCACAAACCAAGCCATGGCTGCAGGGACAGCAGCACATCTCGCTGCAGAGAAAGCCAGGCCCAGATTTGCTGGCTGTCCTGGAAGAGGCACCACGACTGCAGAGGTGGGGAGACGGAGAGGCACTGGTTGGGCTCAGAGGTCCTCATGCCCAACAGCAGTGTGGTCAATGAGGAGGTACCACTTCAGCCTGTCTGGAAGAGGTAGGGCCTTGATTTTGACATCCACTGGCCACGGTTTAAGGCGCTGCCGAATAAACACCCGGCAGAGATGTTTCAGTGCCTGGGGGGAACGCTCCAGCTGCTTCAAAGAGCAGAAGAGAGTCCTGACCTTCTCCCCGTGGTACCTGCAGCTGCTGGTGTTGACCTCAAAGTTGCTGGGCAGCTGGATGGCTTGTGAACTGGCCATCATGAGCTCTAGCAAGGTCTGACCCTTCTGGATGAGGTCTGTGGAGAAGCTGTCATCTTCGGAGACACTGAGGTGAGAGCAGAGGCACTCAAAGATGATGTGGAAGCCCGACCAGCACGAGGGGCCGTGGAGGGAGCAGTTGTAGGCAGCGCCTGACTCCAGCAGGAAACGCAGCAGCGGGAAGTGGCGTTTGAAGCTTTTGAAGCAGAGGTGGGTGAGGGACTCAGGGGCTGGGCACTCGCTGGGGTCAGCACCGTGGGCCAGCAGCAGCTGGGTGACGCGAAAGCAGAAGCGATTGATCACCTGCGCCTCCTCCGTGTTGCTGCATACCATCTCTCCCAGCAGGAAGATGATGTAGGTGAAGACAGTGTCACCATCTTTGGTGGCGGCCCTGACATCTGCGCCTGAAGGGGCGGAGAACATAGCCAGCATTTTGGAGAAAGAGGAGGACACATTGCAAGCAGGGACAGATTCATGGGAGGCACCAAGGGGGCTGTAGTTTCCCCCCCGCCATTACCATCAGGAGTGCCAAATGCACTCAAATGCCTCACGCACCCATCACGCAACAGTTGCGGCCAGCATGGAGCTGAGAGCAAGAGCACGGCCACAGCGCTTCTTCCTGGTGGAGGAGCGTCTCACACCAGAGCACCAGGCCGCACAGAGTATCCTCCCAAGTTTCTGGTCTCTGCCACCCAACACTGAATCCTCCTCTCTTCTCCTGACAGAGACAAGGCCCAGGAAAGCGCAAGAGTTACAACAGCGTCTGTCTCGCCCGGAGGAACAGCCTCCCTATGGCCTGCCCCAGCAGCACAGAAACCACCCAAAGCTTTACATCCAGATAAAACCATTTCCTCCATGGCATAAGAAGCCCAACACGTGCTCCATAAGGAGCCATGCCAGAGGTGATGAGTTGTCCTCGGAGCAGCCTTTGGAAAGGGTACAGCAAAGGAGGCCAGGATAGCACTAACACTAGCACCACTGGGCTTTAGTCTGGCTCAAGTGAGAACATAAAGAAGTTGGGAGGGCAGTGCCAGGTGCTGTACAAAGAATCAGCTGGCTCTAGGCCTGGAGGGGTCATGGGTTGAGAGGGTAGAAGGTTGCTCTCACCTCCTTCCAACAGGAGACGGATGCTCTCAGTATTGTGGATCTGGACACCATCACTGCTGGCCAGGGCGTGCAACAGCGCTGTCTTTCCTGCAATGGAGCAATCACAATCAGTTGAATGAAAACAGTGCTTCAGCTAAACACCCACCCCAAAAAGCAGGTGGGAGCACAACCCACCCCACCAAACAGATGGTTGAACATGGGGAGAGAAACAGCCCTTCTTCTTCTGGCAGGTTCCCACTGGTCCCAGCTGGTACACAGCTGTGAGGATAGGGAGATGGGCCACTTGTGCAGGGCTGGTGGTGGCACCAGAGGGCACGCAGGCAGTGGCAGAATGGGTTTGGGAGTATAAGGCACCACACGGCTATGGGGGCACAGCCCGATCCCATCTCCCCGCAGTGCGGGGCACAGGCTGTTCCCAGTAGTCCAGACAGAGCTGGGATTCAGCCTCCTTCCGCACCAGACACAGCCAAGATGCAAGCAGAAAACAGCATCAGAGCTTTTGCAACCTGCACCCAACTTCCCAAACAGTTTGGGCCCGGACAGCATTTGCAACAGTGAGGCAGAAGGACCTGGCTCCCGCAGCATGCTCTAGCCCACCACTCTGGTTGCCTGCTTGGAGAGCCCTGCTCTCTATGCAGGAGCACCCAGGCTGGGAGAGCTGGACAGGGGACACAGACCATTTTTGTCTGCTGCATTGACGTTGGCCCCCAGCTGAAGGAGACACTGGAGGCAGGGCAGCCGCTCGGGCTCCTCGCTGGCCAGATCGAGGGGACTGCTCTCATGGATCTGCACAGAGCAAGAGGAAAAAAGATTAATAAATATTAAAGACTATTTGTGAGCTCTTCTGGCAAGTCTCTGCTTCACCATGGCCAATATAAGAGCGTTAATTCACCACCTCAATAACCAAATGGAAAATCCCTCTGGTGTGTCCAGAGGGGGCATTGGTCTGCCCCACCCCCCTCCCATCCATTGCTCTGTAGCAGAGGCAGGTTTGCTCGGCCAAAGGCCGCACGAACCTCTACCATGTTACCGCAGTGCTACGGGCAACCTGCACGGGGGAATGCCAAGGGGAAGCAACATCCAAGAGGCCCCAGAGGTGGGGAGCAGGAAGGACTGTCCCCACAGGTCAGGGCCTTGCAGCAAAATCTCAAGTGGACTCAGTCTGACCATGCCCAGGCAGCAAAATCTGTACCCGGTCTCTCCGGTTGATGTCAGCCCCGTGGTGCACCAGGAGCTCCACCATATCCGGCTGGTTGCGGAGAACTGCAATGTGCAGAGGGGTGTAGTAAGTGACTGGATCTGAGGACACAAAAAACACACGGTCAGAGAAAACTAAGGATCTTCCCCGGAATGGCCTTACCATCCTTCAAAAGGCAGTAAACAGGGTAGATGGGGAAGGCACTGAGAAAACAGAGATGCCTGTGAAAGCAGGGCTGTTATGAACAACCCAGATCCTACTTTTGCAATGGCTCCACCTGCCTTGAAAGCCTTCAAACTGGCTCTCAAGTCCCTGGCCACAATCGGGAGACTGAACACGCATACTTCTAGCCTTGCTTTTGTGGCTACAGGGCAAGGGCAGGGATGCAAACCTTCCTCCATCTCTCGGGAAAACACCTAGGTCCTGCCCCAGCAACCAAACCAGGGCACTGTTGGATGCTGCCTCCTTATCACAGCAGAGCCTGCAAGGGAAGCAGTTCATAGCCCCTGGCGCCTACCCTGAGCCTCCCCACTGGCTGATGGCTGTCCCCCTTCAGCCGGTCACGTCAGGAAGCCGCTCTGCCCCAGCTGTCAGAGGGACAGCGGCCCTGTGCTGCCCCACCAGGCACAGAGCAGCGTCCCCACCCCACTGCTGGGATCAGAGTCACAGGGAAGGGCTTTCAGCTACACCCGTGGTGCCTGCTCAAAGTCACAAGGCTGTGCTTGTGCTCCATTACAGACTCGTCTGCACCCGATCACTTCATGGAGACCACCAAGTAACAACTGTTCCAGTCAGAAACACCAACCCTACAGCCCATCACTTGTCCCAGGAGCTGCTGCAGGGCTTGTCAGCTGGCTCGGAGGCCCCATGGCAACCACAGCCTCTTTGTCGTTAACAGAAAAGAAAAACAAGCTGTTAAGCAAGGAAGAGGATGCCAAGAAAACAAACAGAGCAATGGGAGACCAGGAGCACGTCACAGAGATAGCAGCAACCCAGATTGTCACCGGAGAGCAGCTGGGACAGGCAGCACCTTCCAATCCATCCTCAAGGCTGGGTTTGGGCAGCGGCTGCCACATCCCCAGCAAGGAGCAGGGATCCGAGGCCTGAGCTGGCAGCGACCCTTCCTTCTGCCCCAGCTACCAGCACCGCTCAGGGCAGCCTCTCACAGGCTGGGTCCTCCCGGCCAGCCCCAGGAGCGGACCCAAGCGCAGCCCCCTTCCCACCAGCCTTACCTTCAAAGCTGAGGTCGGCCCCGAACTCCAGGAGGATCTCCGCTGCGGGGACGAGCCCCAGCTCAGCGACCTTCAGCAGGGCATAGCTCACGCCTTCCTGATAAAAAGGGGAGTGCGTCTCCCTCTCCAAGACTCGTCTCACAGCGGACAGCCGGCTCCTGTCACTGCCCAGACAAGCAGGGCTTGAGACACACAGAAACAACCGGTTACTCGACTGAACGACGCACACCTCTCGGACAGGCTTACGTGCGTCACAGCAGCACCAGGGAGCACGAACGAGCCCTGGTATCTCCTCGTGTCTTGTAACCCCTAGGTATTACCCCCTTCCCATATACTGCAAGGAGAGGGTAGGTTTTACCACGCCCCCCGGGCTCTGACCTGCTGGCTGTGGGGTTACGTAGCAGCGTCAGCGCCACTGCTGAATCCCAGGTCAGATTTTACTGCCGCGGGTCAGGCAGGAAGGGCTGTTCCAGGGGGGGCGCACGCGGCCCCTGTGTTTGCTCCGCTCCGGCTTCACGTTCCCCAAGAGCAAGAGCAGAGAGGAGGGTGCCGGGGACAACCCGCCCGCAGGGACCTGGGCTTATTCCCAGCTCCGCTGCTACATCCAGCCTCAGCTGCACCACTGAGCTGCGGTTACAGGGTAAACGACCCGGTGGGCGTTTGCCCCCCCCAAACTCTGCCCAAGTTACCTCTCGAGAGCGCTCTGGCTTTCTGCACCCTGTATCGCCAGCAGCCCCAAAATCTCGTCTACCAGGGGCTGATACTCGAAGATGATTCTGCGGAAGCCGTGCAGGAAAGGCATCGTGCTCGGCTCTGCGCACAGGCCAGCCAGGGGCCTCCAGCATGGCAGTGGCGTCCTCCCCGGCTCGGGAATCAGGCCGGCAGGCTCTGGCAGCGCCCGGTTTCCAGGGGACTCGTCCCTCCTTTTAAAATAAAAAAGCTTTTTCCAGCAGTCTCTGCTTTTCCAGCGGAAGAGGCCTGCCTCCGCACCCGTTTCCCAGAGGGAAGGAGAACCAGAGCGGGGCGGCTCCCCCCACGCGGCAGCACGGCGTTTCCCTCGGGGCCGCCGGCTGCCGGGGGGCCCCGGGGACGCCGGGCGG